AGGTAATCCAGGCTTTAATATTGTCCAATCTTGACTATTGCCCAGCAGTATGGTCTAATTGGTTCAAAACAGAGCAGCTAGTGTAGCGCTCCGTTGTGAATACAGAATGAATGTTGTTACGATGCATAATTGTCTAGCTTGGTCATTTGTTAAGAACAGATTAGTTTATTCATTACTTGTATTCTTCAGAAATATTTCAGTGATAAAGAACCTCGCTCCTCTGTACCTCTCTGAACTCCTGCACATCAACACACCCACCCGCACTCTCAGGTCTTCTTCTTCTATTCACCTCACTGCACCACCCGCCTGTCCACCAGGGGGTCCAGAGCCTTCAGCTGCTCTGCCCCTCCCCCGCCTCTGGAACTCCCTCCCACCACACATCCGTAGTATTGACACTCTCTCCATTTTTAAATCTCATCTCTAAACACATCTTTTTAAACTGACATATTCAGTCTGATCATTCCCCTTCCAGTCTCATAAATCCTCTACATCCTGTAAATGCTTTTTAATGTTGATTTTATCGATGTATTGTTACTTTGTTGTTTTTATCTCTACTTTGTAAAACTTTAAATAAAATGTATTGAGATGTAGAATCATCTTTCAGTGGATCGACTTTTAAAATAGACAAATAAATCTAGCTAATTATTTTGGCAGGTTTATTTTTCTTGAATCAAGACAATTTGACTTTATCTAAGAATATTTAACTTCTTTGCAGTAGGGTTTTTTTGCGAGAGGTGAACATGGACTGAAGACAGGAAGTGAGAGTGATGTAAATGTCTGAGGATGAAAGAGTTGTAGAAAAGCAGAACAGAGCTCTTTGTCTGTGCTGCCTCTGACAAAGAGCTGCTAAACTGCCTTTCACTGTTTTTATAGCAATGACATTAAAGATCTATTCTTTTATTTTCTGTTGTAATGATCCGAGGGATAATTAGAAAAAATATGACCTCTGCTCATCAAGCTCCATCTTTGAAATCAGCTGTTACTCTGTAAACTGGATTTCTATTTAAAGAAACACAAACTCAGTGATATGGTTTATCATGATGAGTCTGATCACTCAACTCTTTGACTGGTGAACACTGTGATGTCACTGCTGAAACAATAAACTGATGAGTCCTACAACACATCATGAAGCTCTGAGACAAGATATGAGTCTTTAAACAACAGAGTCAGAACATTAACTTCACTTTCACATCTCACCTTCCATCAGCAGGACGTCCATCTTTAAAGTTAATAGGGAAACCTTTAGAGTCATCACTCTTCATGGACACACAGCTGGGTCCAGGAGAGTCTGGTCTCTGTCTCTTCATCCTGATACAAACAAACATTATTAGTTACTGTGAGCAGCAGATGAGACAGTGATGATGATGGAGTGAAGTGAGATCCTCATCTCACCTCAGAGCTTCATGTTCCTCACACAGAGAGGTTTTAGAGGGAGGGACCCCCTCCTCTGTGTCCTCACACTGATCCATAGCAGAGCGCCCCCTGCTGGAAGAGCTGCACTCTGTCACAACAACAACACTGATGGAGTTCAGCTGCTGAAGTCACATCCACTCAAAGATCTTCAGCTGTGGAGGAAACAAACAGATGAAGCTGCTGATTCACCTTCATCATCATCACCTCACTGTCAGTCTACAAACATCACATCTACCTGGTTCACCTGCTAACATGATCTAATCTTCTGTTCTCTCTTATAGTAGATGGTATATTACTGTCAGATGTTCTGTACTTGTTAGACTGCTTATCCAGCTGAAGTACTAAACTAGTTCTAGGTTCTGTGTGTATTCACTGCACAGTCTGTAACTAGGACATGAATCACTCTTTTCATTTCTGTAATCATCTCATTCTCCTTATTTGATGAATTCTAATGTTTTAATTAAACTTTTTTCTCTCCTTGTTTTGCTGAAACGTTTGAATTTATGCTCCAGCATCAATAAAGTTTTATCTTATCAGAGGAGGCTTTACTGCAGGACTTTGAATCATAAAATGGATTAAAAAAACGTTGAACACGCCCAACAATCATTTATTAACCAAGTATGACTTTACAGTTCATAACAATTAAACAACAAAAATATTTTCCCCTTATTCCATGAATTTTAATGTCACTGAAATTATTTTTATCATATAATATACAAGTATACTGTACAAAGCAGGAACACCAGCCTGCTGGAAAGTTGAAGTCAAATATTTATTTTATTCACTGTTTCATTGCTTTGTCTGTAAGGTGACCTCGAGTGACATGAAAGGCGCCCAAAAATAAAATGCATTATTATTATTATTATTATTATTATTATTATTATTATTATTATTTAAGCTGTTTGAGAGAGTTATTAAAACTTCTTCTTATGAATTAATTCAGAACGAGTTTCACGGTAAACAAACATCATTAAGAAAAATGATGTTGAGAACAACACTCACACTGATGAGTTTTAATTAGAATATTTAAATCACAGAAGATAAAGTGATTATCTCAATGAAAGAAACTCTGAATTTTCCAGAGCGGGCTCGTCTTCAATTGTGTTAGCACAGTTAGCATGGTTAGCATAGCCTGCATCGTGACTGAGTCACTGATCATTGTGTTTCCTTCACTTCTACTGTAGTCAGAGCAGCTAATGATCCCGGTGGCTAACTGTTAGCTTACAGCTCTTTTACACTCAAATTAAATGAGAGTCTTTCAAACATTTAAAAAAGTGTCTCTTACCTTGAACACGGAGAACAGATCTGCGTCACAACAGGACTAAGTCAAAGTCAAGTCTCCTGTCACCAGGAAATACCAAAGTCTAATAATCACCATAGCAACAGGGAATCAAAGGTCACAGCTTTATTATTTTATTGAAGGAATTTATTGTGTCAGATGATTTACAAAGATAGATCCTTTATTACTTTGATATCAGATATATTGTGTGTATAGAAGTTTAAAGTGTTTGAGGCAGTCTGTTGTCCTGCAGTGGTCTGTAAAAAAAGGAAGAGCTGCTGGGCCCTCCTTACCAGGAACCAGGGCTGTGTCTGAAATCACTCACTCATTCCCTACTCACTATATAGTGAATTAGATGTAGTGGACTATATAATGCACTCACTCAGCTAAATAAAAAAAACATTTTGGACACTACTCGCTCACTCGCCGGCCGCTGACAGTGACGTAATCACTGTCGCACAACTAAGACGTCGCTCATGGACGGCTGGGGATTTACAGTCATCAACACTGTAAACAGCATGGATTTCAGTGATAACTAATATTATACTTAGCATATTTTTCCACATTAATCAAATATAATAAATAAATGTATTACACGTTATTTTCAATAAATAAATACCAACCATATATTCGCGCCACAACTTATTGGAGTGTCTCGTGCCTGACTTTATCTTTACCGTTACTCCGTTTCAAAACTGTGAAAACCTTTATCACTTAACGGCCTTTATAAAGCTACAGATTGACTCTGAAAGATGCCACCTAATATCAATATTTCTGTTTTTCTTTTGACTCTTATTCAACTTATTTTATTCGAAGAAGAATCAGAATAACTAGAGAAAGACAGAGAGGACTGAGACGTGCCGCCGTTGCTATACTAGCAAGACGTAGCCAAACTGTAAGTTAAAAGATGATATTAGTCCTTTGCATTTATATTAGATAATGTGGAACTACAGTATGTAAAGTTGTAGTGTCAGACTACACCCCCTCCTGGGGACACTTAGACATGTCACAGTATTGTAGCCACATAAATCTTCTACTGAGTCATTTTGACATACCTTTTGATCACATTACATTTAAAAACATCATATCATGAGAATCAATATCTTTATTTACAGTTCAGACATCAATCTCAGTACTGCAGAGTGAACCGCCATGTTCCAGATCTGGCCATGTATTTTGATGGCCAAAGTGACCTCCGTCCTGACTTCCGCCTCTCCAGACCCACCATACTCCACCTTATCGACATCCTGCGCTCACCATCTGACCACGGCTGGGGATTCGATCTGGAGATTCTTGTTTTTTTGTTTTGGTTGGTAAGCGCCACGTCTTACCGCGTGGTTTCTCGAGCCTTTGACATTCCACGCTCAACTGTACATGACATTGTACACAGGGTATCAAAGAAAGTAATCGGGCTAAAGAACAGGGTCATCTACTTGCCCCCCAAGATGACCTTGCAAGAATTGGTGCAGGCTTTGAAAACCTGGCAGGATCCGTGGCTTTCAGTCGTGTTGTTGGCAGCATCGATGGCTGCCACATAAGAATTAAGCCTCCAAGTGATGACGCTCAGTGCTATTTTAACAGACAATTGTTTTACTCAGTGCAGATGCAGGCTGTGTGTGACCACCAGTGTCAAGTTTTAGACATATTTATTGGGTATCCAGGGTCAGTACATGACTCCAGAGTTTTAAAAAATAGCCCACTCTTTGCACAGAGCCTGTTCCCACCTGAAGACTACTGTATTTTGGGTGATATCCCTGTGTGTCACGGCCAGTCACCCTAATAACACCGTACAGGGAGCCTGTGAGAGGTGCAGTGGCAGCTCGATTTAACAGGCACCATTCAAAGGCCCGTTCAGTTATTGTCAGGGTTCGAGAAAAACTAAGAGGAGGACCCAGACGCAGATTTAACAAAAAATATTTATTTAAACAAAAAGGCCAAAGACAAACACACAACTTACTACAGTAGAAAACTAGCCACGAGGAAACCACAAGTAACACTAGAGCACGAGGAAAACAGACATCTACTGACACTGATAACTGACATACAAACAACAATGAACTGACACAGAAGGGAAGAAACACAGAGACTAAATAGACATGGGTAATCAAACACAGGTGAGTCTAATAACACAGGTGAAGACAATCAAGGCAGGGAGAAACACTGAGGACAATACAAAATAAATCATGAAACACTAAAGACACACAGAACTCAAGAGTCTAACAAAACACACCAGAACACGAGGATAATAAATGACAAAATAAAACAGAAAACACTGAAGACAAAACTAGGAAACCATCAACACTAGGAAACATTAACACACAAGGGAAACAAGCAACACTGGGGTAAAACAGGGAAACTCAAATTCAAAACCAAATCATGACAGTTATCGAGCGGGCCTTTGGTATTATGAAGGCTAGATGGCGCTCCGTCTTTTTCAAGGCCCTAGAAGTGAGCCCTGTGTTCTCTGTGGAGGTGGTGGCTTGTTGTGCCATCCTCCACAATTTCTGCCTCAGGGATGGCAACACAATTGAGCCAGTTGAAGAGGCACTGAGGCCGGATGATGGAGACGGCCAGCTTCAGCCTGACTCGCAGTGTGGGGAGCAGCTGCGTGGACGCATGGCTGCTGCTCTTTCAGCCCCGATTGAAAATCCGCCAGCTCTGGATGATCATGACTACAATTAAGAAAAAAATACAGCATTATTTTTGTTAAGACTTGAATTCATGTAAATACTTTTTAATATTCAGTGTTAATAGTTGTAAATATGTAGTTATTAGTAGTTATCAGTTATTTATAAAATCTTCTTCCTTCTTTCTTAAAAATTAGTCGAGATGTTGTATCAGTTACTTTAAAATCAGTTCTTTCAAGTTTCAATGTTATGATGTTGATGGTAAAAACTGATTCATAAAACATTTATTTTAATGTGCAGATTTTAATTGTATCACATTTTTTCTATAATCTTTTCCATCAAACTCAACAACCTTTCCTCCCTGGCCTCATCTCTCCTAACTCTCTCTTCCGCCCTTTCTTCTGCCCTATCCAAAAAGTTAAGGATGTTGTCACCACCACCACATCTCTGCCTCCTCTGACCCTCTCCCTGGCTCTCTCTCAGTGTCAGATGGCACTGAATCAGGGGATTCTGGCTGGGACATGGAAGAGTTCTCTCCCCATGCTGAGGCAATGAGGCATGGAGGCCTTATGGATGGCCTCCCACCTATTGCCTCATCCATGAGGGAGAACCACTTCCATGTCCCAGCAGTGGCCTCCCCTGATTCAGTGCCACTCCCTGTGAGCTCCTGCACACAATCACATACATATCAACTATTAGCTATGCACAATTATACATGTTAAAGTCAATTTCAGATTCCGAATACAACATAGGAAGATACTAAAGGAGAACATGAAGTGCCATTTTTAATCTAAACTTTAATTATCCAGGGCTACAGTTAAATACAACAAATACAAACCTTGTACGTTTTCTTCAAGTTCTCCCACTTTTTATCCGCCCGAGCAGGACTGACTCGATCAGACAGCAGCATGTCTTTCAGCAAAGTTCTTCAAAATGTAAAAGAAAAACATACAAATATATTACACAATAGCCTACAAAGTGTCTCAAAATCATGAATAACTATAGCCTACTAGAAAGCTATAAGTCAAGAACATTTTACCTCCAATATAATGACACATCACAATAAGAAAGCTATTAATAATAATGAAATGTCTCACTCCCATCCTGCAGCAGCAGCAAACCGCCTCCCGCTGAAGGGTGGTCCTTCTCCCTCCTCAGCCGGATCAGCTGGGCTACATCGTCATCAGTCCCTGAACAGAATAAGATCAATTTTGCTCCGGTACTTAGTGAAATGCCAATGCAATTTACCGCTGACGCTAGTTAGCAATGCTAACATGCTACTAATGGTGGCTAAAGATAGCTAAAGGCTAATGCTAGCTAGCTGGGTTTTTACCGTAGAGGCGTAATTATAGTACCTGTGATATACAAGTTATAACGTGTCTCATAATCCTGAAAAGCGGAAATCCAAAGTGAAACAATCGTTGAACATTTTAAAAGTCAGCTCCCGCTGCACGCTTTCGTGGTCCTGTCTGTCGGCCATTTCTTCTGTTTGAACCGCAATGCATGATGTATATATTGCTCGCATAGTGACCATCGCTCATACACTACTTTTCAAATGCATTGTGGGATACATTGAGTGGACTATATAGGGTATGACCATGCTCACTCAGAATTGGACAGCACTACAAAATGGCGTGTCCACTACATAGTGGATAGGAGTGATTTCAGACACAGCCCAGGTGTTCAGGATCCAGGTGTTCAGATCCAGGTGTTCAGGAACCAGGTGTTCAGGATCCAGGTGTTCAGGATCCAGGTGTTCAGGATCCAGGTGTTCAGGATCCAGGTGTTCAGGATCCATGTTCAGGATCCAGGTGTTCAGGAACCAGGTTTCAGGATCCAGGTGGTCAGGATCCAGGTGTTCAGGATCCAGGTGT